TTTAGATACTAACCCTTTATCAGATATGTCATTTGCAAATATCTTCTCCCATTCTGTAGGTTGTTTTTTAGTTTTGTTGATTGTTTCCTTTGCTCTGCAAAAGCTTTTTATTTGGTGTAGTCCAACAGTTTATTTTTTCTTTTATTTCCCTTACCTCAGGAGACATATCTAGAAAAATGTTGCTATACCAATGTTAGAGAAATTATTGCCTGTGTTCTCTTCTAGGATTTTTATGGTTTCAGGTCTCACATTAAAGTCTGTGATCTATTTTGAATTTATTTTGGGTTGTTAGAAAGTGGTCCAGTTTCATTCTTAAGCATGTAGCTGCCCAGTTTTCCCAACATCATTTTTTGAAGACATTTTTTTCCCATTAGATATTCTTTTCTGCTTTGTCAAAGACTAATTGACCATATAATTGTTGGTTTATTTCTGGGTATTCTATTCTGTTCCATTGATCTATGTGTCTATTTTTCTGCCAGTACCATACTGTTTTGATTACTATAAGTTTGTAGTATAACTTGAAGTCTGGAATTGTGATATCTCCAGTTTTGTTTTTCTCTTTAAAGATTGCATTGGTTATTTGGGATCTTTTGTGGTTCCATACAGATTTTAGAATTGTTTGTTACAGTTCTGTGAAAAATGCTGGTGGTATTTTGGTAGGGATTGCATTAAATCTGTAGGTTTCTTTGGGTAGTATAGCCATTTTAACAATATTTGTTCTTCTAATACATGAGCATGGAATGTCTTTTCCTTTCTTGGTGTCATCTTCAATTTCTTTCATCAGTGTTTTATAGTTTTCAGACTACAGGTCTTTCATTTCTTTGGTTAGGTTTATTCCTAGGTAACTTATTCTTTTCAGTGCAATTGCAAATGCACTTAATTTCTTTTTCTGCTGTTTCATTATTAGTGTATAGAAATGCAACAGATTTCTGTACATTGATTTTGTATCTTGCAACTTTACTGAATTAGTTTCTCAGTTCTAGCACTTTTTTGGTGGACTCTTTCAGGTTTTCTATATAGTATCATGTCATCTGTAAACAGTGCAAGTTTGGAGGTCTTTTATTTCTTTTGGTTGTCTGATTGCTGAGGCTAGGGCTTCCAATATTATGTTGAATAAAAGTGGTGAGAGTGAAAACAGTATGGAGGTTCCTCAAAAAGTTAAAAATAGAGCTACCCTATGACCCACCAATTGCACTACTAGGTATTCATCCAAAGAATACAAATATAGTGATTCGAAGGGGCTCATGCACTCCACTGTTTATAGCAGCAATGTCCACAGTAGCCAAACTACGGAAAGAGCCCAGATGTCCATCGACAGATGAGTGGGTAAAGAAGATGTGGTATATATATGGTATATATAATGGAATAGTACTCAGCCATCAGAAAAAATGAAATCTTGCCACTTGCAATGATGTGGTTGGAACTAGAGTGTAATATGCTAAGTGAAATAAGTCAGTCAAAGAAAGACAAATACCATAAGACTTCATTCATATATGGAATTTAAGAAATAAAACTGATGAACATAGGAGAAGGAAAGGAAAAATAAAATAAAAAAATAAAATAAGATGAAAACAGGGAAGTAAACCGTAAACTCTTAACTATAGGGAACAAATGGAGTGGCTGGAGGGGACGTGGGTGGGGGAATAGGGTAACTGGGTGATGGGCATTAAGGAGGGCACTTGATGGAATGAGCACTGGGTGTTATATGCAACTAATGAATCACTAAATTCTACCCCTAAAACTAATAATACACTATATTTTAACTAACTTGAATTTAAATAAAATTAAAAAAAAGAAAGAAAAAAATGGCGAGAGTGGACATCTTTGTCTTATTCCTGACCTTAGGGGAAAAATTTTCAGTTTCTCCCCATTGAGTATGATGTTCACTGCAGGTTTTATTATACCTTTATTATGTTGAGGTATGTTCTCTCTAAACCTATTTTGTTGAGAGTTTTTATCATGATTGGATGTTGTACTTTGTTGGATGTTTTTTCTGTATCTATTGAAATGATCATATGGTGTTTATCCTTCTCTTATTGATGTGATGTATCATGTTGATTGATTCACAAATATAGCCTTTGTTTTAATAGTTACCTTAAATGCCTGAAGCCAAAAGTAAAATATATATACCCCTGCCAAAAAAAGTACACTTTTACTTTTTGCAGATTGGTTGTTTGCAGATTGGATGCTTAGCTAGGCTTTTATTAATTCCGCTTTAGCTTTCAATCCGTGAATGAGTGGAGCACGAAGTACAGCCAGAAGTGAAAGACTGGGGTATTGTATGGCCCTTTCTGAATATGCAACCCATCCTGAGCATGCACGTGGAATTCTTGATTTCCTGGCATATGCAGGAGCTTTTAAAAGCCCTTTCCCCCACTTTCTCTCCTTTTCCAAAGTCTTCCTTCCCCACGTTTTTGGTCTTTCTATTGCTTGCCCTCAGTTTTGCTCTTATGTGCTTTTGGCAAATGCCCAAATGCCCCTCCTTGCTCCACTCCCTCGGGGAGTCACTGGACAGATCCAAACACACATCCTCAGTTCCTTGTGAATAGAGTCTGCATTGCTCCCTCTGGCGCTAGCAACCTGCACCAGGAATTCATAGTGCTGTCTTCATGACCGCCAGCAATCTAGAGAATGGGAGACAGTAAGCAGGAAATTTAAAATGCCACAACACTCTCTTATTGCAGCAGAGGAGCTTCTTTCTTTATTATGCTTTTCTCAGGTTGTTGTAAGTTTTTGGCCAGATTTTACACTTCTGTGAAGGTTGATTCTGTGAAGGTTGATTCTGACAGTTTTGCCAGTTGTTCTTGTGCCACTATTTTTAGAGACTTTGCTCCTCTCATTTTCTTAAAATTACTAATTTGTATTCATATAAAGAACTCAGTCTCCTTTAGATACTGATTTTAATAATATATCACTCCAATGCATATGTAAACAGGAAAATGTAAGCCAGGTATATTGCTTAAGATATTTCTACACTTCACATTCACTGCCTGCCTGCTCTGAACCACTTTTCAATTCAGTCTTTGATGTTTGGGCTTTCTACACAACACTGCTGTCTGCTCCCCCTGGAGAGTTTATGATCTAGAACTTCTTAAAAGAGCACTCTCTACTGTCATCCCCAGGACTTCACGCCCAGCCTGTGACACCCATATACAATCAATGACAAACATCATAACTGACACATTGGCCAATGGTGACGGTCATATGAATCCCAATTTCAACAAAATATGAAGAAATATACATCTAATAATTGGCAGTATGTGGGTTGTATTTTTCTTAGAGACCAGATGAGGAAGTGATTAATTTGGCTAATGTGGGACACAGAAAGCAACAGAAAAACACCATTTTGGGAGGGCTAGAGAGTTGATGGAAGGATCCGGCCAGCCAAGCAGTAGTGGAAGAACCCTGTCAGCAGAACCATCAGCATCACACGCAGGAGACCAGGCAGGTCTCTCAGATATTCAGATTTGAGTCACGTGTCAGTTGCTTGTGGTAGGAAATGGATTTAAAGAAGTGGGCAGTGGAGGGCTCATGCTTGGAAAGTGAAACACTATTGTCTTGGCCAAGGACTTTACAGAAGATTCTGAGGAACAGAGTAATGTGATGACATCTTCCTCTTCAAAGATCTCTTGGAGGCCATGTGAGGAAAGGCTTGCATGTGGAGGACAGATTGTGAGATCTGTGGCTCTGTGGGTGAGCAAGTGTGACAGAAGTACCATCGAGGGGGTGGCTGAGGAGCTGGGCTGTGGTAGGGAGGAGGGAGAAAAGACTGACAAGTGTAGGCTGACTGGGGGATAAGTCCACTTGACAAGTTGGGAAGGCAAACCACTTCTCCTTTGTGTTTTCATTATTGGGAATGTGAGCAAATATATGGCAGGTTGGACAACTGACCCACATAATCAAATACCTGTTCTCAGCTCTGGCTACTGTTTAATCTGGGGGCTCAGTCTCACAAATTACAGAGGCTGAAGTGAATGCAGAAATGTTTACCTATCACAGTAGGCTTTTAATAAAATATATAGGATTTAACAGCACCAGGGATGTGACCCCAACGCACATGGACCTTGTGTTGTTACTATGTTGGCCCTTGCCTTGCCTTTTCAAAATTAATACATTTGGAATAAGGTTTATCCAAGAAAGTATATATTTGTAACCGCACTATTGTCTAACATAAAACACAAAAAAATATACCATGTAGTTAAAATTAGCCCTAAGGTAGGTTAACAAAATATATAATGTGATAGTTGAGAATAATAATCTGAATAGGGTGCTAAAGTCAGCCAAGTCTCTTTCCTCTTCAAACTTCATTTTTACATTTTAGATAGCACTGTTCACAAAACATTTGTACTAGACTTTATTTGGGAGGAGACCTGTTCTTGTTTCACATCTTGTGCCATATGAAGTGTGGCAAAATGATCCCTCATTAGAACTGAGTTATGGTCACTGTGTTATGAACACGGAGGAGGAAACCCGTGTACTAGAGCATACTGAAAATTTTAAGCATTTTCAGCCTCCTGGATTTCTAAAAGACTGATGTGTTCAGAAAGTCCATAGGGAGTGGACTTCATCTAACATCTCAACTGTGCTCAACATAGATGTGTCCTCATAAACATGGGGAATCCAAAGGCTCCAATGTTTTACAGGAATGCTTTCTTACTTGATGCCTTCCTTTCAGCAGTTCTGCTCAGAATACCAAAGACTCAAGAAGGCTAAGTAATTACTTGAAACAAATCCCTAACAATGAGAAATGATGAACAACTCAGTATTTATCTTGAACAAATGTATAGTAGAGCTAAGAAAGGGCAGAAAGTGGAGATTTCAAGAACGGACTATGAACTACCATCAAAAAAACTAAACTGTTTATTATTTTTAAAAAAGTAATTTGCCCTAAAATGTCACAACAGATTTATACTTTGCTGGCCTATGACCTCTCCTTTAAATCCTTCTGGAAAAAGGAAGAAAATATTGAAATCTAAAAGTGATTATTAGTGCATAATACATTTTAAAAATGTTGGCCTAGCATCTCTTTCAAACTCAATCCTAATCTGATATCTGAATCTACTAATCTCACTGAAGTTTTATGAGAATATAGTTCCTATTATTTATTTTACATCCTCTAAGTGATTGGAGGGGGCTTCAGTAGTGTTTCTATGGGCTCCTAAATAAATAAGAACTAAGAAATTAGTCTGGGTATGCATGAGCCCACACTACATGTGTCACTTGGCTTTGCCCTTCATAGTAAATTAGTAGTGTAACATCAACACCCTGTGCCCTCTCCAAGCAATTCTAAACCAACGGGTTTGTCCTTGTAGGAAACCTATTAAATATCCATAGTACATCATTAGAAATTACCTCTGGAATTGACTGCAGAAACTCCGGTGCAATTTGTGGAGCATTAGGTGTTTGCACATAAAGTCTGGTGAGTGAGAAGCCTAAGCCAAGCATAGATGTGAGATGGAGGCCATGTTTGAATAGGGACAGTGATTTAATAAATGGAGTTGACCAGAAATGCTTGCTCCAAATTTCAGGAAACGTAATGAACAAAATCAATCCATACTGTGTTTTCATGCATTTTACAGTATGAAGAGCTAGCAATTTAATACTCTACCGGAGCTGCAAGTACAAATCTTCTCTTTCTCCTAAAGACCCAACTGCTTTAGATTCAAAAGAACTTCTCCGGAATACTGAGCGGAGAAAAAGAGCTCGAAACTTAAAAATAGAACTGGAGCAGGACACCGCCGCGAGATGGCACTGCTTTAGAAGGGCTAGAAGGGACGTCAGCGCGCGGGGAGCGCGGGGGGCCTCGGGTCAGCGTTGCTCTGCCGGGTTCCAGCCGGCCGTCGGGCCTGGTCAGGCCTGCGCGCGCTGGAGCCTGGTGCTTTTAGGGCGGCCGGCGGCTCAGACCTGTGTCGTGACTCCTCTCCCATTTGCTGCGCTTCCCCGTCCCTGCGGCCTGGAACTTCCAGCCGCGACGCTGAGCTCTGACCCCCAGGGCCTTCGACCCAGATGAGACGGGCCAAATCGCGCCCCGAATTCCTGGAAACGTGCGAAGCAGCCCCATCCCCCCGCGCCCTCCCCGCCGCCCCAGCCACGGACCAGGGTCCCCGGGACGGGAGCCGTGGCTGGAGAACGTCACCAAGCTCTCCTCCGCGCCAGAGCCGCCCTCCCCGTTTGGGCTCCTCTTGACGATGGGAACCGGCCCGGGACACGCGCGCCGCGGCCAAGTCCAGGTTTTGATTTCACTGCCGGCTGCGAGAGCGAAGAGCCTCCAAACCCAACAAACAGGAAGGAGAGAAGGAGCCGGAGTGCGGGCAGAGGGAGGGTCATTCCCAGCAGAGGCGCAAGGGCCGGGCCGGGCCAGGGGCGGGGAGGAAGCAGCGCCCCTTCCCCTCCCGCGCGGCCGGGGGTGGGGGCGCGGGAACAGCGGAGAGTACGGCAGCGGCGGCGGGGGGAGGTTTGAGGGCGGCTCCGGGGCCGGGCGCAGTGCTTGGGGCGGGGCGGGGGCTCCCTGGACGCTGCCGCCCGCGGCCCCCCTCCCCGCGGCCCCAGGGCGCCCCCGCGGTTCTGGAGCCTGGGCGGAGCGTGCGCGTCAGCTCGGGCTAGAAAAGGCGGCGGGGCCCAGCCCAGCGAGGTGACAGCCGCGCTCGGACAAGGAGCCCGGCCCGACGCTGCCATGAGCGCCGCGCTCTTTAGCCTGGACGGCCCGGCGCGCGGCGCGCCCTGGCCCGCGGAGTCCGCACCCTTTTACGAGCCGGGTCGGGCGGGCAAGCCGGGCCGCGGGAGCGAGCCGGGAAGCCTGTCCGAGCCAGGCGCCGCTGCCCCTGCCATGTACGACGACGAGAGCGCCATCGACTTTAGCGCCTACATCGACTCCATGGCCGCCGTGCCCACCCTGGAGCTGTGCCACGACGAGCTCTTCGCCGACCTCTTCAACAGCAACCACAAGGCGGGCGCGGCAGGCGCCTCTGCCAGCGCCCTGGAGCTGCTGCCCGGCGCCCTCGCGCGTGCCCACGGCCCGGGCACAGCTGCCCCGCGTCCGCTCAAGCGCGAGCCCGACTGGGGAGACGGCGACGCGCCCGGCTCGCTGCTGCCGGCGCAGGTGGCCGCGTGCGCGCAGACCGTGGTGAGCCTGGCGGCGGCCGCACAACCCACACCACCCACGTCCCCCGAGCCGCCGCGCTCCAGCCCCGGGCCGAGCCCTGCTCCTGGCCCGGCCCGGGAGAAGAGTGCGGGGAAGAGGGGCCCGGACCGCGGCAGTCCGGAGTACCGGCAGCGGCGCGAGCGCAACAACATCGCGGTGCGCAAGAGCCGCGACAAGGCCAAGCGGCGCAACCAGGAGATGCAGCAGAAACTGGTGGAGCTGTCGGCCGAAAACGAGAAGCTGCACCAGCGCGTGGAGCAGCTAACGCGGGACCTGGCCGGCCTCCGGCAGTTCTTCAAGCAGCTGCCCAGCTCGCCCTTCCTGCCGGCCGCTGGGGCCGCCGACTGCCGGTAACGCGCGCCCCGGGGGCGGGAGAGACTCAACCAACGACCGATACCTCAGACCCGACCGGCCAGGGAGCGGAGTGCGCCCCGCCCGGACGCCGCGAGAGCCGCTCGGCGCCGGCTGCAGTTTCTTTGGGACGCGCGAACGAAGGAACCTACAGCCTGGACTTAACCACCACTGAACTTCGAGAGAAGCTATACGTGTTTATTTTTCCTTAAATTATTTTTATAATGGTAGCTTTTCTACATCTTATTCCTATTGATGCAGCTAAGGTACATTTGTAAGAAAAAAGACTTTTCAGACAAATCCTTTGTATTGTAGATAAGAGGAAAAGACTGAGCATGCTCACTTTTTTTATATTAATTTTTACAGTATTTGTAAGAATAAAGAAGCATTTAAAACCACCCGATTCCGGTATTCACAGTGACTCCTGAACGCTGGTAGCCCCCAGGACCTCGCTGGGGAAGGGCATGCAGCAAGGCACCGGGGAGGCCGCGGGACCCAGGTGTGTGTACATGAGGGGGAACCAAGGTCCCTAGAAAAGGGGGTCTGCTTTGCTTTTGAAACCAGCCACAGTCTACCTACAAATGTTACATATCTGCCTAAGATCGGCGAAGCACGACTAAGCTCATGTTAAGCTAGCAGCTTTCTGGTGGAAGGTGCTCCCAAAGTAGCCCGAGTTGGGGAGGGGGCTGGCTGGCCGACTATCCCTGAGCTGATTTAGGGGCTCTATGAAGAGCTGAAGGGCGCCCTAATTTTAGTTGGCTGCTCGAGGGGTGAGGGGGTAGTGGAGGGCTCTGGTTATCCGAAAAGCATGTCTGACTAATCTTTGACTTTCATGGGACTTTGCTTTCACTTTCCTCAGTCTTATGTACTGCTTTGAATACATTTCTCAAAGTGGGTATTAAGTACAAAATAGTCCTGTTGTAGTAGATGCAAAGGACAGTCAAAAAGCTACTCAAAACCAGCTATCTTGCCAGGCATTGTAGTGTTTCAAAACTTAATCAGGACAAATAAAGCCGTTTGCCTTTCTCCCAGTTAAAGTGGGTACTAGGCACCTTTTCTTGCTCTGGGCTGCTAGGTCTGTATTAGGTAATCAATAACCATGGCCTGTCATGATTATATTATTACAAGGGAGGAAACAATCTTTGTCTAAAGATAATTTATTTATCATTTAATGTTAATTTAAATCTCTGCCAACAAAGCAAACAATAACCAATCACTCTTCTTGAATCTGTTATCTTGGCTCTCTGTGCACAGTACCCACAAGATTAAACAGGCCTATCTAGAGTGAGCTATCTATACCTCTGTGCAGTATGGTGATAATCACACCAGGTAACTTATCTATACTTTATGGGTAACAGTTTTACCTCTGACACAGTTTACCAGAACATTTTCCAAAAAATATTAAACTGCAAAATGCCTAAGTTGGACATGTACTGTGTAGAACAGTAATACTACAATTTAGGACAAATGTTTCAGCTTTGCAGAGTATTCTTTGGGACAGTGTTAAATAACTACAAGAAAAACGTTGGATCATGGTAAAATTTAAACACTTAAAAAATTACAAGTGAACGAAATTTTTTTCTTGCTGTTTTAATATTATTGACTAAGATGAAATACAAAATGAATATCTCAGGCTTATTAAGTTTTAATAACATGTTCCTAAATTTGCAAAAACAAGAAAAAAGTATTTTGATGTTTAGTTCACAAAATCATCTTACTAACATTTGACCCAGAAAAATCTTAAGTTCCATTTCAAGATCATACATTTGCTCTGCCCATAGTTAACAAATAACTACCCCAAGCCGCCACCACCTCCACCACCATTGCGACTGCATCACAAAGTTCACAAATCCTACGGCAACCGGCAGTGTTCGGAAGAGGCTCTTCCTGCACTCAGGAGCTCAATTTCCTCCAATCCAACGCAGCTAGCTGGGTGGGTGGTTATGGACTGGACAAAACAATTCAACAACCCCACCTCCTTTCCGAGGACACTCTTCACTTCATAACTCTGCAGTGATAGAAGGCATGCTGGTTAAAGCAAATAGAGCTAGCCCTGGACGTTCTGTTCCCAAAAACACAGAACACCAAAGAGCAGAGCATAAGGTCCTTTCCTCAGTCTGTGACCTTCCACTTTTCAAATGGTAAGAACAACATGGGTAAGGAGGAAAAAAATTAAAGGCTTGATAAAAGCTCTATTTACTATGGCAAATGAAGGAACTCCTTTTTTCTGCTGTTAGTGGATGCAACGACAAGCGTGTCCCAGCTGGCTGGCCTATGAGAGGAACTGGGGACAGACATACTAAGGGATATGCCCTGTTCTCTAGCAGGAAGGCTGGGGGCTGGGCGTGCATCATGCTTGCAGCTGTCTCCCACTTCCTTTGGGACACTTCCCCAATCTAGCAACACTTCTGGTCAAAGGATTTCCTGGTACTTTGCCCCAAACCTCCCTCCTCAGTTAGGATCCCATTTCTTCTAGAGTAACACTGAGCCAAAAATGTCTACGTTGTAAAAAGCTTTTTCTTCACATTGTTTGATGAGTGTCTTATGGTGATTAATCTTGGGCAGGTTTCATCTCTAGGTGAGAACTCAGGGCGCTGGGCAGCAGGGGTACCAGATGACTAGGCTAGGAAGGTATGGCAGGGCCTCGGTGGTCTCAAACCTCAGAACATTTTCTTCCTGGGGTGGGGCTGAAAATAAAGAGCAGCTCAAAAGCATGGGGATAAGTCAGATCTGTGGCTTTACCAGACACCGAAGCCCTAGAGGGTAATGCATTTTTCAGAGACTCCTTTGCTGCCACTTGCAGAGTACTGTCTGGGGTACCTCACTCTTCTGGGCAAGAGGCTTAACACATCTCTACAGTAGCTCAGTTCAGTATGTTTTAGCTCACCCATTCCATCATTAATGTGTCTTGGCAAAGGAGATTGAGGCCGGAGGGCTCCGACAACGCAGCCAAAGTCGGCACATGTCTGTGGCTCCTTGGTGCCCTCCCATCAAAGGTGGGCACCTCACTGCTGTCACCCTGGCTCCTGGGCTGGGCTCAGTTGACTGCTTCTTATGAAGAGTGTGGTGGAAGGGACATTGAGTGGCGTCCCGAGCTTGGTCAGGAAGGTGCCCAGCCTCTGCCTGCCTCTCTTGGGATCCAGACACATGCCATGAGGGAATCCAGACTGTGTGGCATCTGGCCTGAGCCCGGGAAGGTCCCAAGCAACAGGAGTACAAGAGCCAGCCAGGGACTGAAGGGCGTTTTGTGACTCTAGCCCAGCCTTTGGGGTACCAGCTGATGTCCTGCGGGGCAGAGATGAGTTGTCCCGGCAGAGCCCTATCCAAATTGCAGATCTGTGTGCAGAGTAAGTATGGAGGCCACTAAGCTTTGAGATGGTTTGTTCTGAAGCAATACATATCAGGATCAATCTGGGATGTGAGCACTGCTCTAATGCCAAACCACTGTGATCATTCTGCTTTCCTGTCTTTTAAGTCAGGCATGGTGTGAAACACCAAGCATATTCAATATGATTTGTAGAGTTCAGGCTTCTTCAGTAAAAAAAATTAGAGTAAGGTCAACAGAGTGGTTTAATGGAGGGATAGGGGAGTAGAAGTCATAATCAAGACAGGTGAAGAGATGGAACTGGATAAGTCTCTGACTGGACAACCATGGCTGAGACCTTCCTCCGCTTAGCTCATCTGTGACAGATGTCAGGTTCATGGCTCACTGCCTTGATCATTAATCAAGGGCTTGCTATGAACCCATGAGGGGCCTGACCCTGAAAAGATGGCAGAGGACCAGACAGCCATGGGGATGCTGGTGCGGAAGGCACACACAGGGCCGTGCAGAGTGAGGCGTTGTCGTCCAGGTCTGGGAGGACTGAGGTAGGCCAGCTGGATACTCCTTTGCTGTCTCTTCCCACTTTAGCTAGCCTTGCACATTTGTGTGTGGGGAAGTAGAAGGACCAGGCACTCCTACACTCACTTGGGGTAAAAGTACAGAATTCTAACTTGAAAAAAAGTCAGTAACAGATCATTTCCTTTTACAATGTCAGGTTTCACAGCTAAAGTTTACAATAACTATACCATAGTCAATAATAACTATATCATTTATAAACAGAGATCAAATGATAAATATATTTGGGAGGAATTAACATGGAGAGGTAAAAAAAAATCACACCAGCAAATGCAAACACACTGTTCATATAAATGTGTAAAACGTGTCTCTATTTTTAAAAGGCATACTATATTTTCCTTTAACTTTTCTTTTTCTGAAAGTAAGGAAACAAACTCCAAATTTCATATTACTGTAATGTGACCTTTGAGAACTGACATGTACAACAGTGGCGAACTCCATTGTTTTCACATCTGTAGCTTGAACACATTAAAGTTACGGCATAAAACTTAACACTCATGTGTCCTAACCAGAAACATTACATGTGTTCCAGGGAATAGAGTTCTCGTGGAAAGCCTAATTTGATTCTTTGGATTTTGGCCAATGTGCATTCTCACCCAGAAAACTGACAAAATCCAGACTGGAAAACTCATCCTCGTGTCTACACCGAGGTCCTTCTTGTACCCATCCGCTATCAGCTTCTTGCAGGTCAGATGTAAAGCCCTGATTATTCACTGTGAGTAAAGCTGGAGGAGGGGAATGAGCTTCTGTCCCTCCAGGTTGCAATTTACCCTAATTTGACTGGCGTCAGCTCTGATAACAGAGCACCCAGAAAGGTGATACCTGAGGCTGTTGCCACCCTGTGCCTCACCCAGTGCACATGTGCACACACAGGCACATACTCAGGCACACTCATGTACACATGAGCACACACAGGTGTATACACACATTCAAGCACACCCATGGGCAAACCCACCTACACACACACACACACACACACACACACACGTACGGTTGTACACACGCCCTAGCTCTTTATAATTAGGGCTTTGCCTACGGGCGTACTGTAGTTAAGAAGTGTAATGTGTGAGAGGTACAAGTCAGCCTCAGTCAGAAGGAAATCAAATGAAGAGGCAGGATTTCTGCCAGGGCCTCCTCCTGGTCTCTGGGTCCCTACAGGGAGTTAGGGTAGTCAAGGGCAGTCCATGGTTGGAGGCTTTCTAGAAGAAGCACCAGGCTGCTCTCCTGGAGAGCCTGCGAGAAACCAGCGCGAGATCAGGCTTGAGCCTGGTAGGGCCCAGCCAAGGCCACCTGAGGAACTGCAGGGCAGGCACTGCACCTCTGTGCTGTGTGGGACCTACAGGGAGCTAGGCGCCATCCCAAGTGCTGTTGGTTTTTGTTTGTTTAGGTTGTGCGTTTTGGTTCATTCGCTCTGTGTTCTCCTTAAGCAGGAGTTTTCCCCAACACTTTCCCTCAACCTTTTCCATGGAAATATCTTCCCTGATAACTTAGATCTGCCATTTTTAGCACCTGTTTAAAGATCCCTCCAATTCATCAGCCTTACCCAGCATCACACCCTTCTTTCTTCCTCCTCCCCCACCCCCACCTCAAAGACAGAGGTGAGGTGACAAGGGATCAGCCAACAGGTACCACTGTCTCGTCACACATTAAACATATAAACTTCAGGAAGAATAGAAACATACACATAAGGACCCTGTCACCCTCCTCCCACTCTGTTAGGTGGTCACTTGTGGGGATAACAATGTACCCAATAGAGACCGTGACTGTGAGCCCTGCACTCTTGTTTCTTCAGTGGTAAAATGTGGATCCTGCACCACTGAGATGTTGGAGAGATTAAATAAGGCAATGTGTGAGAAAAGTTGTGAGCATAGTTCTTAGTCCATTAGAGTTATTTACTTACATTTTACTTGTAAACAATCAGGGAATAACTAGCTCATAAACCCTCCTACGGCCTGGTCTACACATCAATCCCTACATGTGAAAGAGCCCTGTAGATAAAGGTTTGGTGCTGGGCTGGGGGTGTCATGGAGTTGCTTTAGGGAACTATGCGCAGGCTGGTGGGCTTTATCCCAGGGGCGGAGCCAGAAACTCTTTTTAGAGCCCTGCAGGCAGTTCCACCCTGAAATCAGGGTTGGAAACCACAGTCAGACCAGTGATCCTCAAGGATCCTATCCATGGATTTATCCACGTACCCAATGAGTCCAAACTTTGAGAGCCATGGTTTTGAGGAATGAGTGCAAATGGCTGCCCCGCCTCCTCATGCTGCCAGCCCTTCCTAAGGGGCAGAAGCCCCTCACAGCTCCAGAGGATGGATAAATTCAGCCTTGTATTCAGACTGCAATCAGAGGTGGAATTTGACCATGGGACCCCATCAGAAAGTTCTGTAGATGATCAGCCCCCTTTTCACCACAATCTCCCCAGCTGGCCCAAGTCTGCTACTTGGATGTGGACCCTAACACTGGCCATGGATAACTTTTGTGACCTAGGTGCTGTGCCCTGGCATCACCCCAGTGGGGTCAGTCCTCAGTGCTCTTCTCTGGGGTTCAGTGGTTCCTGAAGCCACTTGTGGTGCTTTTAATTGGTTTTGACAAGACAGAGGTGACATCTCAAGGACAGAGCTCTTTTGTTTATGAGGGCTAAATTTCACAAGGAAGAAACTGTCTCTAGACTGTAAGTTATGTATATTTAGGTGGTGGTTTTCTTGGAGGAGCACACCACTTTAATAAGCCTCACACCATAGTAACTCTCAGGGAAGGCAAAAGAGTTCTGAGAAATAATGGTTAAGTTTCCAGTTACTCAGACTCTGGAATACCCAGCAATTAAAAAACACAAAATGTGTGTGTCTCAGATATTTCTGTTCTATTAACCTGAATCATGGCAGTAGTACTTGAAATGTCCCTGGTCTAACTATAATCAAAGCCAGGGCGGCATATTCATGTATCTACTGCAAGATTGGTCAGGAAATCACCTCAATTCCAAAATGGAAAGAATCTCATGAACAGACACAGCTATTTGTCAGGGAGTAAGACTTATTATTGACTATTGTATAGTTATTAACTGCAGTAAGACATATGCATGTCTTGGTATAGTCTAAACACTTAGCATGCACCCAATGATACTGTGGCACTTTGTTGTAATTGAAAGTACATGGGACAAGGATCTTCACCTGGAGATGATCCACTAACTCGGGGCTTAAGAACACAGGGGTGCACACCTGGGCTGCATGTTCCTGGACTTACCCCATCCTTGCAGGCGGCAAACCTCAGGAGTGAAGAAATACTGGCCTGGGACAGCTGCAATAACAGTGGGGCGGGCTGATTAAAATCCCAGGACTGGGGCAAGTGCTCACGCCCACGCATGGAGGGTAATGTTCAATCTAAACCACCTTCATTTCTTTAGCAGCTTCCACCTCAGAGCCTTATGTCAAATGTGACTGTAAGTCCTGGATGTGGAAAGACTGTTCTCCTGAGGGGGTGTCCTTCCCATCCCCTCCCCAGGGCAGGAACAACAGATGCTGCCCTCTTGGCTACTGTGGCAGAGCAGTTCCATGAGGTGGGGTAGGATGCACATGAACTCCTGCACCGCTCCTACCTTGACCCTCACTGTGCACTGCGGTCGAGACGGACAGTCCAGGAACACCTGCAGGTGCCTTCTGAGGCGAGGAGAGGTGACCACACGGGAGCAGTCCCCACAGGAAAAGGTGCCTCTGTTGATTGGAAACACACAAGGAAGATAACACTTGAAAAGGCACAAATCAAAAGAGTCTAGCAGTAGACAGACACTTTTTTCTGAACCTGAGTGTTTGCTGATATAGAAAAGGGGGATTTACTCTCAGAAACCAAGTTCCTGAAATAGGCCAGAAGAAGCTCAGCCTGTTCTGAGGGATCAGCGTCAGCTTCTGGCTAACTGCTGCGTGGGCAATTGACGCCCCAGGGGACGGAAGGGACACTCAGGCAGGGAAGCCTCATTCAAGCTGGGCATAGAGGATGACAGCAAACATCCCATGAAGCGAAGTGGAGGCCCTCTGCTCAGCAAGGGGAAGTCAGGGCTTCCCATCTGCCTGAACAGGAAAACCTACTTCTAATCACCAGTAGCTATGCTCCTTATTGCTACCAAGTAAACCTGTGATACACACTCTTCTTGTCTCTAGAATGATCCAGTGATGCCTTGTTTATACATAAGACCACCAACCCAGGAGGCATCAAGAAAACACTTGTGCTTTGGTTATTAAGAAGCAGAAAAGTAATGAGCATGCCCCTTTCTGTCAGGTGACAAAGTCACCTTGGGAGCCTGGGGAACTGGCTCAGAATGACATTGATACCCAGCCCCAGCTCCCTGAGCCCCAGGGAGGATATGCAGTAACTCTGGTCGGGGAAGGAATGAATGTCTGATTATACAGCTGTTCACTGGTCCCTGGAAAAGTCTGCACCCCTGCAAAAGACAAGCTGTACAGTTACCAAGTTTGTCTCATTTATTCAGGTTTGCCCTTTTTCTCTTCTCTGCTGATAATAAAGGACCTGAGTACAAAACCTGGCTCTTTTCTCTTTTAAGATGGGAGGAACTGAAAGGACCAGCAAAAATCCCTGTTACAAAGAAGTAAACACACCTAGTGCCATGGCCTCCAAGCGGCAGCGTGGGAACTTGGTTTCCCAGTGGCGGCCCTGCCTTAGCAGGGGAAGCTGGCCCGAGGCAGTGCGGCTGTGGAGCCCCTCGGACTGGCTGCGGCTGCCCCGGGGTCTTTCAGGCCAGCTCCTGCACCCTCACCTGTCTCCTGGGCTCTGTTCCAATCTCTCGTTGCCACACAGTTCGCAAGTGGGCCAGGAGAAAGCAGTGCTCTCGTCCACACCAACCACAGTGCCTAGGCCCAAGAGAAAGCAAAAGCTGGAGTCCAGAGGCAGTGTCTTCCCTCCCAACTTCTCTTTGCCCCTCAAGACATAGATGTTAACGTGAGATTCCTCAGACTTTTTTTTCCTCACTTATGAGATTATGTAAGTGTTCCCAAGCTTTTTATAATTTCCATGTACTGCAAAAACAAAATTACAACAATAAAAAGTAAGTTTTAAAAGTTGCCCACATTACTACCCAACCAAGTATTTCCATTCTGCCTCATCTTTTTAGTCTTTTTTTCCAGATGCATACGTACTGAAATCATTATAAGCAAACCGTCAGGCAATGTCTCATTCTACTTTGTAGGTTGCTGTAGAGCTGTTGTAAGGACTGTCTTATCGATATTCAATTTAGGTGATGTGTCACGGTTCCCTCCAAACTGGACATACAGGTCTGAGGCAGTGGACAGCTTTCCACATAAGGCCTTTCCTGTAGTGAGATACCTTCCTTAGGATAGATTCCTGGAAGCAGAATCACTCTGCCAAGAATATGAGTATTGGAGATGCAGAAACACCCTTTCAGAGGTGTTTCCCACAAGGACTTTCTAATTCACACTTTCACCATCCATTTACAGAGTGCTAGCTTCACTGAGCTGCATGCTAGTATTTGCCTCCTTAATAGGTGTAATGGAATTCCTTATCTTAGTTTCCACTTCCTTGATAAGGAAAGAGAAATATTCTTATTGCTTTGTTCATATCTCCTCTTACGTGATTTCTCTGGTTTCCTTATTTCTTTTTTAATTCAACTTTTGTGACTTATTTATTCAACAAATATGTATACAATGCTACTTAGTGTGGGATATATGTGTAGCATAAAAAATGCAACGATGAAAGCTACAGTCCCTACTCCTGTGAACTCCATAGTCTGGCCGAGATGAACACATAATGAGAAAAACATCATGAATATGGGAGAAAATATTCACAAAAAAACACATCTGGTAATGGACTGTTACCCAAAGTATACAAAGAACTCTTAAAATTCAACAATACAAACAACCCAATTAAAAGATGGGCCTAAGACCTTCATAGATGCCTCACCAAAGATGATATACAGAGGGCAAATAAGCATATGAAAGATGTCAAACATCATGTGACTAGGGAAATGCAAATTAAAACAAGGAGAACACCAAAAAAAATCCAAACAATGCAATTAAAACTGGGCAGAGGACCTGAATAGACATTTTTCCAAAGAAGACATTTGGATGGCCAACAGACCCATGAAAAGATGCTCAACATCAAGGAAATACAAATCACAATCACAGTGAGATATCACCTCACCTGTTAAGATGGCTAAAATAAAAAAGATAAGAAAAAAAAGTATTGGTGAGGATGCGGAAAAAAGGAACCCTAGTGCACTGTTTGTGGGCATGCAAACCGAGGCACCCACTCTGGAAAAGCATATGGAGGTTCCTCAGAAAATTAAAAATAAATGCCATATAATCCAGTAATTCCCTTACTAGGTATTTACCCAAAGAAAACAAAAACTCTAATTTGAAGATATATCCATCCCGATGTTTATAGCAATATTATTTACAATAGCTAAATTATGAAAGCAGCCCAAGTGTCCATTCATGGATGAATGGATAAAAAAGATATGGTATACACACACACACATACACACACACACACACACACATACACGCACGCGCATGCAATGGAATATTATTCAGCCATAAAGAAGGAATGAGATCTTGCCATTTGCGACAAAATGGATGGACCTAGAGGGTATTATGCTAAGTGAAATAAGTCGGAGAAAGACAAATACTATATGATTTCACTCATATGTGGAATCTAAAAAAACAAAATAAACAAAAAGCAGAAACAAACCCATAAATACAGAGAACAAAGTGGTAGTTGCCAGAGGAGGGAGGAGTGGGGGGGATATAAGCTTCCAGTTATGGAATGAATGTAATGAGGATGAAAGCTACAACACAGGGAATATAATCAATGAGACTGTAGAGCTGTATGGTGACAGATGGTAGCTACATTTGCAGTGAGCATAGCATAATGAATAAAGTTGTCAAGTCATTATGTTGTACACCTGAAACTCATGTAACACTGTGAATCAACTATACTTCAATAAGTAAAAAAAAACCCCACAAAACAAACAAAAAAAACATTCATTAATAAGACAACACTCCATACCTATTTTAATGGCCAAAATCCAGAACACTGACAACACCAAATTCTGGGTAAGAATGTGGAGCAATAGGAACTCTCATTCCTGATTGGTTGGAATGCAAAATGGTATAGCTACTTTGGAAGACATTTTGGCAGTTTCTTTCTTTTTCTTTCTTTTTTTTTAAAGATTTTATTTGTTTATTTGAGAGAGAGAGAAACAGCATGAGAGGGGACAGGGTCAGAGGGAGAAGCAGGCTCCCCGCTGAGCCGGGAGCCCGATACGGGACTCGATCCCAGGACTCCGGGATCATGACCTGAGGTGAAGGCAGTCGCTTAACCAACTGAGCCACCCAGGCGCCCTGGCAGTTTCTCATAAAACTAAACATAGTCATACCATATGATCTAGCAATTGTACTTGGTGGTATTTATCCAAAGGAGCTGAAAACTTACGTCCATACAAACACCTATATAAAGATGTTTATAGCAGCTTTATTCTTTTTTTTTTTTTTTTAAGATTTTATTTATTTATCTGACAGACAGAGACACAGCAAGAGAGGGAACACAAACAGGGGGAGTAGGAGAGGGACAAGCAGGCTTCCCGTGGAGCAGGGAGCCCGATGTGGGGCTCGATTCCAGGACCTCAGACGCTTAACGACTGAGCCACCCAGGCGCCCCTACAGCAGCTTTATTCTTAATTGCCAGAACTTAGAAGCCACCAAGCTGTCCTTTAGTAGGTGAATGGATAAAACTGTGGTACCTCCAGACAATGGAATGTTATTCAGCACTACGAAGAAATGAGCTATCAAACCATGAAAAGACATGGAAAGAACTTAGTGCACATTGCTTAGTGAAAGAAACCAGTTTGAAAAGGTTATATACTACATGATTCCAACTATACAACATTCTGGAAAAAGCAAAACTATACAGTCAGAAAAAAAAAACTACACAGACATAAAAAGATCAGTGGTTGCCAGGTGTTAAGGGGGAGAGAGGGATGAATAGGTGGAGCAGAGGAATTTTAGGTCAGTGACACCATTCTGTTGATACCATAATGATGGATACATGTCATACATTTGTCTAAACCCATAGAATGTACAACACCAAGAGTGAACTCTAATGTAAACTCTGGACTTTGGGTGATTATGATGTCACAATGTAGTCTCATCAACTATAACAAATGTACCACCCTGGTGGGGGATGTTGATAGTGGGGGACGAAGCGCATGTGTAGGGTATGGGGAATCTCTTTGCTGTAAACTTAAAACTGCTCTAAAAATAGTCTATTAAAAAATACCATGAAATAAATGCTAAACTGAGAAATGGAAAAGGCCCCTGGAGGTAGAGAAGAGAGGCCCTCCATGCTAGCTTGAGGTCAGAGAATGTTTCCCAAAAGAAGAGACTTGAGGTGGGGCTGCAGGTGGAGTGGAGGGCATAGGCTGACCCTGCACATTGAAGCAGGGCTGGAGGCCAAAGGGGCATGAAGGAAAGGCAAGTGACATGGCTGTGAGGTTGGGAGACCCAAGTCATCCAGGGTCTTGCTGGGGATTTTAGACCTGGAAGGCATGAGAAGCCAGTGAGGAATTTTAAACAGGAGACTGAGATGTTCTACTTTCTTGAAATGTGAAGCATTATAGATATCATCTAGACATGCTGGCAAATCACAGACCATTCCTGTTGAAAAGTGGTGAAATTAGACATTGAAAACAAGCAAGATGTGACCTAAGTTTCCAGAAAAATAGAAGAGTCATCCCTCCTACTCCTGGAGCAAAGAATTTCATTCCCCACTAGAATAAGCATAAGGAAAAAATTTATCTGTAGAGGATAAAACAATTGTTACAACTAAGTAGGCTTGATTTACTAAAATGCATTCATGCAATGCCCACTTGAATGACTTTTTAAAAATGAAAATAATAGATCTTGATTTTGGAAAGGCTGTCCCAGCTAATTTCATTGTCCTTGCAAATCTAATCAAGATTGAGTCAAAGGGATTAAAAGTAAAGTCAATAATGGCTTATAATACGGCCGGAAAGCAGTGTTGACCAATTCACAACAGGCAGAGGCATAAGTAGGGCCAAGCAGGATGAGCGGCTCCCATTCCATGGGTGTGTGTGCCCAGCAGTACTTAGTGTCTGCCACATGAACTAATAAAAAGAAGACTGCTACCAACTGAAGTTCCTTTTTATCCTAGGATATCTTTGGGTGTTAACTTCATTTACATTTAGATGGGATTAAGCAATTTCTTTCCAGTAGGGAACAAGACACAGTTGAAGAAATCTATTTTATCTAGGGTCTACACACCACTGGAAATGCCTTCTGGTAACTCTAAATAAATTCTAAGGGATTACTGGGAAGTGTACTATTAAACTGTTAGTATCTAGAGCATTCATTTATATGAACATCAGAAGGAAAAAAAAATTTTGTTAGAGTTTGATGGTTTTGACATCACACTCATCATTAGGCTGCAGTCTGCTATTGAAAGCTTTTACTTTCCTTATTTACAGAAATCTCTTGTAATTAGGCTTGGGAAAGGTATATCACGTATTTATTAAAGCATCTTTTTAAAAAGGTTTTTTCAAAGGCTCCTTCCTGGGAACTGCAGTGGCTCCTTTCTAGTAGGGCACATAGCATCTACATGCTCTGGTATTTTCTTCAGTGACATTTAACTCTCCGCCACACCCTCCTCTCCAAACTTTTTTTCTGACGGAAAGAAGTTGGGGCTCAGAAGTGTTTCCTTCTAGTTAGAGGCCAAAGCCTGGTTTGAAGACAGGATTTGGCCACGCCTTCCCAGGGAGACAGTACAAATGTGCACTTGCTGAGTTCATGCCCACGGTGGTGAGCAAGACCACCACCCA